GAGTGGGGCTGTTGGAGAACAGCTGTACTGTGCTGCTCTGTGAATGCGCCAAATTTATCATTTCGACCATAACAATCGAACAGCGTCGTGAAAAATAAACACCGTGAAGAGGTTGAAAATACACTATCGACCGCTTTTTTGATGATGATGAGTCAGAAGTACTGAACAAGTAGCATAATACGACATGTGTCACGATTTTGAGGCTCGGCATCAATGTTTTATACAGACACGAATTGGCAGAATTTGCTTAATTTTGTTAATACAGCATGTTAGGTAGTGCAAATGCATGTTTAGAGTTATATTTGTAGGGAGGCACGCACTAAGCTTTCGACTCTAGGTTGATAATCTGTGTTCTTGACTAAGCATGAATATATGCTGTTGTATTAGTGTGTGTAATAAAGGTACCCTAACTCGGTCGGATCATCGCGTCAAGATCGGCCTCGCAGTCGCTCGTCCAGCACACAATCTTCGTCTTCGCACCTCGTTAAATAAATCCCCTTCCACCACTTCGTTTTCGGTCCAGACAATTCAACGTCGGAACAACGGCGTAATGGAGCACAGAAGGGGTTTATCTTGCGTCACATGTGACTCGTTAAACTAAATTGCCACCAATAACTGTAGTCCAGCTCGCAAAAGAGTCGCAACGCTACAGGATGCGGTCAGTTGTTCCGGTGACCTCCTCTGTGTCGTGTTTGATCAAAAAACTACCAAAGTTGTCGCAGTGAGACATAGTCTGAGTCGGGGAAAAGGAACTTGAATTCAATGGGCAGTGAATGCTATGTGTTGAATTCAACCAAAAAAAGAGTTGGTAATTGTTAATCAGTTGCAAGGGGACTAATCGAAATGAAACAGTAACACGATCTGTCCAAATATAGAGAATCCTTTATCAACGAGTGTTGAATCTGGGTTAATATGCGATTTTGTCGCAGATAATCAGCTAACTCGATTTGGCCAAATGGGAAAGATATTATTATTGTTATTATTATTATCATCATCATTATTGCTGTTATTATTATCATTATTATTAATGTTAACATTATTATTATGGCCACACTTTTTTATTCGAAAAATAATTTTCTTGCTTATTTTTATTTTTTCTTTCTGTTTATTTAACTTTTTATTGTCACAACTGTCGTACTGACGAAGATCACTATTAAATAGGGATGTATACGGCTTAATATACGGCTAAAACATTGCTGTTTAATTTTTTTTGTCTTAATTATTTTTATTTCTAACTTTTCTTTGCCCGTTTTTCCATATGTATAGGTCGTATTTTATTATTTTCAGCTTTTAAATAATCCATCTTTACTGCACCTTTTAATTTATTTTAAATCATCTCGTGCGTGCGCGCCTGCATAGTTTGTTAGTGGCAAGTGGTCGAGAGTTACCTGAAGTCTGGTTCTTCAGAACAATGCCCTGTTCCACCTCGTGCTTGGTAGTGGTGGTGACTCACTGTGTACTCCTACTTGTCGCTGTTCCGGATGTCTCCGCTGGAGCGTCTCGGGATGTGTCGACATACTAGTTCTTTTGTTTTCCAGTTTTCACGTTTTATATTTAAAGCTTTAGCAAAAAGACGACTTTCGCTACTTGCTGCTTTACTGAAAATTAGTTTTTGCAAGACCCTCACAGTGTGGCGCGCAGATGAGATTATCTGGAGCTGCTACGGAAGGAAGAGTTTCATGGATTTGCGTCTGATAGGTAAAGCTGATGTTTGGGTGGAGGAGTAAGGAGAAGAACCGTTCCTCCCCTCCCCTTCCTCGCCCCGCTCCCACGCTCGGAATAACACGAGTAAATCCCCTCAGCATCTTTACGGTTTTTGCTGAAGTATTACAATAATGTAAGCGCCCTTTCCAAGACGCTGAAAACTTTATCCTTTAAAAGGCTGCTGATTAAAGCACACTGTTTTAAATGGTCAGTGCTACGTCTTAATCCATTGGTTATGAGATACTGAGATAGTCTAGATGCTTGTAGCAACGC